AGCTGAAGAAGGGTATATTTTTGCTGTATAATAAATTATCCCCAATTTAGCAGCTTAAAAAAAAGAGCATTTATTTTTTTCACAAGTTTCTGAGGGTCGGCAATCAGGGAGCAGCTTAGATAGGTGGTTCTGGCTCAGGCTCTCTCATGGGGTTGCAGTCAACATGTCAGTGGACAGTATTCTGGAGCTGGAAGCTTGACTAGGGCAAGAATATCTGCTCCCAAGAAGGCTCATGCACATACTGTCAGAGGCCTCAGTTCCTTGTTGGCTGTTGTCAGGAAGCCTCAATTTCTCACCTGAGCCTCTCCATCGGGCTATTCACAACATGGCAGCTAACTTCTCTAGGAGTGAGCAATCAAAAGGGTTGGGGGATAAATGGAAGTATAAGAGAAAGTGGGAGGCAGAACCCACAATGTGTTTTATAAATAACCTATCCTCAAAAATGATCCATCACTTCTGCCGTGTTCTATTGGTCAAACAGAAGAACCCAAATACAATGTGTGAGGAGATTACACAATGCTATAAATATTAGAAATGCAAGGATCATTGGGGGCCATCTCAGAAGCTGGCTACACATAAAATAAACCTAGTTCCTGTTATGTCAGCATAAGGGAAAGTAAAAGTCCTTCTTACACATCTTACCTTCCTTATGTTTACTACTTTTCTTATCCCTTAATTGTAGACTGTACCTTATGGCTACAAGAGAGATAAGCAAATTGTATTTAATAGATCCTACTCTTGGGAAAAAAACAGTAAAAATAGTAAAGAGTTCATAGCAGCAACTTTTAAGAGAAAAGAATAGAGTTCCTAGTGCCTACAACAAGAAAGAGGAAAGCACCTGAAACCAATCTGGGCTTGAGAAAGTGCCCAAGTGGTCATTCTCCCAAATACTTTACTCAATGACCTATCTAAATGTCTACCCTCTGCCCTCTTTGCCCACCAATCTCCAGAGTCTGGCAGCAATAGCCAACAGCAACATTAATAGTAAAATTAATAGCAACAGCAGTAGTACCAAGACCGATGCTAAGCATTTTGCCTTTATTATCTCACTTACCCCTCACCACAAACCTAGGATATAGACCTTTGTTTCTGATAATCATACCTTGGCTTTACACGACACAGTATAATAACAACTTTATTCTTCTTACAACACCTAGCTCTCTCTTGCCCTGCAGGGTTCTCCTGCTCTTCTGGCACTGAAATTGTCTTATCCTGTCTGTCCTCCCATTCTACTGCAGACAGGCCTTAAAGCTTCCTCCTAGCTTCCATGTTCCCAAAATCTACTACAAAACCTCATTAAAAGGAACCACCGGACCACTTAGACCTCTGTAAATTACTGGCTGCTGGGCTCTCCCAATGCTACAACTGCCTAATATAGACTTTTCCAATCCCTAAGGACACACTGACCTGTCAAGTCTGCTTCATCAGCTAATGCCCCAAAATTGGCCCTATTTCAGCTACTCATTTTAAAATATTATTTCATAGCACATGTGCCTTAATTTATAGTTGCTGTAGATTAATGTTAAAATGAGTTTCCTTTCCCTAGGTCCATATAATTAATCACCAAGGAGAAAGGCCCAAAATATACCAAACCCCTACCTATTGTGGTACCCTGGAAACTAGTAGGTCCCCATTAGTTATCTGTTGAATAATGAATGAAAAAATATAAAATAATGATTATTAATACTCAGAAAATTCTCAAGGGTATATATAATCCAAAGAATCTTATTTACAAATAAAAAGGAAACAATGACAGCAGACATATATAAGCGCTTTACAAAAAGCAAAACACAAAACAACAAATGTAAGCAAATCTTAGAAATACAGACTAAAATACCACTTTTTGTCAGACAGATTGGCAAAGATTGAAAATTTGTCAAAGAAGTAAGGAAATAGGCATTCTCATACATTTCTAGTAAATATAATTTTGTATTTTGGTCACCTCTTTGACCAGTATTTCCATTTCTAGTAATTATAAGAAAATAATTGGACAAATAGATGCATGGAAAATAAAATTCGCTGTGGCATTACCTAGAATACAAAAATCTGTCCAACAATAAGGGCTTGGTTAAATAAATTTTAGTACTTCTAAGCTAAAGATTATTAAACCACTTCAAAATATTAAATATTATATAATCCCAGTTTTTAAAAATAACATATATCCACATAAAAACATACCTGCATAGAAAAAAAATCTAGAAGTATACACCCCAAAATGATATCAGTGATTATCTCTGTAAAAAAATAGTGGAATTTTTTATGATTTTTTTTTCTTTTTGTTTATCTATGCCACCAAATTTTTCTACAGTAAGCATAGGTTGCACATGGATAGTAACTCATTCTTAAAAGGGAAAAGCAAAAATGAGGATCATAATTTAAAGGTAGAAAAGTGCCATTATCATAACCGAACATCGAACACTACCATATTCCATGATAATATTGTTAGGCAGAGTTAGTATCAAATAACTTAGTATTCAAAAGCCTAGTTTTTAATTAGTTTCAGGAACACATGTAGAAGAATCTGCTAGGACTAAAAAAGTGTGTAATTCAGGCATTTTAAGAAAACAAAAGACCTCCCAAATAAAAATTCAGTACTAATCCTAGAGACAGTGTTAAAAATCACATAGTAAAAATCTCAACTGTTTCAAGTTGAAAAATGGCTTATCCCCTTTTCCTTGTTTTTAATATTTGTCTTGAGTGAAAACTTTCACTTTCATGAGAAAGCAGGCACCAGGAGAAAATAATAAAAGATAAAAATCACTCATAAGTTTAAGAATTCAACTTTACATTGAATAAAGTCTTTACCTCAGACTTGAACATTTTAGAGGATGAAACTTACAGTCAATAAGAAGAGGGGGTCCTTAAGTGATTCTAGAAATACATATCTGTTACAGGTTGAGCATGCCAAATCTGAAAATCCAAAATCCAAAACATTTTGAGCACCAACATGACACTCAAAGGAAATGCTTGTTGGAGTATTTTGGATTTCAGATTTTCGGACTTGGGATGCTCAACCAGTATGCAAGTATTTCAAAATCTGAAACACTTCTGGTCCCAAGCATTTCTAAAAAGGGATACTCAACCTGTATAAGCTAAGTGTGTATATACTTAGCACTGCATACAATTTCTAGCCAAAGCCCAGGGAATTGCTTGTGGCCATGAAGAACACCGCCTAGGAACTGTTTTCAGTGCCTAAATCAACATGACCTGCAACACAGCCAGTTAGTAAATCCTTATTAGGACTAATCCATACACCATAATTCTCAATGAAGTTGGGTGGCATAAAACGAATGATCATTTCCATCTGTCTATGATAAAATATGAAACAAATTATTCTAATTGTACCCATATGATTAATGGCACGTATCCACAGAAAGTCATTTAGTGGCCACTTCATACCTACAACACACTTTGCAAGTCAAGTTTCAGAAAGCATCAGCAATGCTTCCGCTGAGATTTGATAGCATCTGTGAGACTACAGGAAGCGCTAAGCACAGTACAGCTTTAAGATTCCTTTAAGCTTATATTAGTAATGTCTTTGATGAAAGCAAATTTTTTTTGCCGGAGGAAAGTTGCAAATAAGTTTCTTTTGTTACAAAAGGAAAGTACAGGAGAAAATCAAAGAACAACTCTGCATAAAAGAGATGTTATGTTAACTGCATTTGTGTAACACAAGCGTCACACACCAAAATTGACAACACAATTATGTGGTTACTGTTGAAAAGAATGGCAATCTCCTTGCTTTGGTGACAACTCTAGTATCATTCATCTACTCAACCAGCGAATATATGAAAACTATTTACATTATTTATTGTAGGACCTGGGAATACAAGAGTAAGCAAGCAAAGTGATTGTCTTCATTGAACATACCAACTACGAAGGAAGACAGATGTTAAACAAATAATTACATATTTGGTTATAACTGCAAATGTCACGATGTCATTAAACAAAAGAGCAGGGTGCTATGAGAGTACATGCTAGACCTAAAGACAAGTAAGCCAAACACAGGGGAGAGGAGCAGTCTAGACAGAGGTAATCTGTGCAAAACCCCTGCAGCTGGAACAACCTTGCCCAATCTAGGAACTGGAACAGTCCAGTATAACTGAAGCATTTAGACTGTTTCTTGGGCACACATTAAGTCTGAGATGTACAAAGACATCCAAGTTAAGAGATCAAGTTGGTAACTGTTACATGAGTCTGGAGCTGAGAAAAAGTCTAGCCTAGGCATAAACTTAGAAGTCATTGGCTTAGAGATGGTATGTGATGCACAGGAAATGGAGGAGACTTTCTTAGGCAAGGTGCGTGGGACTGTATCTTGGAGAGCAGTGGGGGGGTCAGGATTACTTTTGCAAATTATATTTCGAAAATTGAAACAAAGCTAAAAAATTACAGGAAAAAAGTTTAATTACTTCTCTCTTGATTTGCAATCAAAAGAAATAAAGTATTTTCTAATATTATAGTTACAAGGTTCTATTTGTTCAGAAGAGGTAAAATTTAATGTAGACAGTTCTTGGAGAAATGCCAAGAACTAAGAAAATTACTTCTTTCAGTATGTCTAAGGTATTTCTTTTTTGCTACAGTTTATTTAGCAGAGCACTTCCTTCTAGCCCTTTTCAGTGCCCTGGAAAGAAACCTTTTTTAAACACACTGATATAACTACTTCACAAGATTTGTCACCAGAAATGCTTTGAGTCTGCAAAACTGCCACCTACTGAAGCTATATCATGATCATAAGCATTCTGAACACATCAACAAGTCCTGGAGGAATGTGACATCAAGAACAGACAAACTTGCTCTGCACACTAAGAAGATACCAACTTTCAGAATGATCACTGTAATCCTTAAACAACCTACCCTGCATAGTCTCCAATGATTACATAGTATGTAACGGCTCTAAAAAGCAGTGGTCGGGTTATGGTTATAGAAAAGCTGAGTTAAAATGTTTCACAATTCATAGCCAAAGCACCATGTAAGTATGAAATGCCTTAACACAAACTCACCTGATTTATTTGAAGCATGTTAAGACAATATTGACCAAACTGCTGTATCCCTCACGGCTCCAAAAACTGGAAAATGAAAATGAAGAAATCAAGTTCAACTTAGTTGGTAACCTCAATGACTAGCATTTTAAACATATGCTCTTGATCAAAATCAAATACGAAATGTAACTGATCCACATGAGCATAGAACTTTCTATGATGATGAAAATGTTCTATACTTGTGTTGTCCCATCCAATAACTACTAGCCACACGTGGTTACTGAGCACTTGACATATGGCTAAAGCAACCGGAAGGTAAATGTTTCATTTTTTTTCCTAATTTAAATTCAAATAAGTACATGTAGCTAGTGGCTACCATACTAGACAGTGCAGATCTAGATTACTGAACGAAGTCCTTTCTGCTTCTAGAATTCTAAGACAATCCCAGCAAAACTGAAGCTGTTAAAAACAAATCCAAAAGTTTCAGATTAATAGTGCATGCTTCCCTTTCTACAGTCATGTTTTAAACAGCTTTGTTCCCATCCTCTATACGATAAATTAATCCTAAAGAAGATGCAAAATCCACAAGTATTCTCTTATGTGGTTTGAAAAAGAGTATATGTAAGATTACCTTCCTGAATATTTTCTTTTTCTCTGTTTGTCTATCATCATCAGCATAAAGATAGCATGCACATTAAAATTTCACACAAAATTTTCTTTAAAAAGTCACCACTGTGATACATCCATTGTTACATTTCAGTTTGCCTCCCTCTCAGTCTGACCCCCTTCCCTTGGTTGTATTTCTTTTCACCAGGTACATTTCTTCTACGCTTAATTTAGCAATAGATGTCAATGAAGGGCAAAAAAAACAAAATTTAAAACAAATAAATCATAGGATCTTGTAATGAGAAAAGTTTATAAAATACATAAATTACATACAGATCCTTTCCCCAAAAAATTATCTACAAAGCAAAAACAGTCTTGATAAATGGCAAAAGGGCTACAGCCAATCACTTGTATAGAAACTTTTATGCTGTAAAATTTTACTATTGAATTTTCCCTCAGAAGCAAATTTAAATACACACACACACACACACACACACACACACACACACACAGACTCATCATACTCAAATATTTGGCTGCCATTTTTTCAAGATGGCAAACTGTAATCAATTCAAAATGACTTTGAGAACTTTCACTATTTTTCTTACAAGAGTGTCCTCGGCATCTGTATCAATTTTTCTTTTCTAGTTATTTTCGTATTTCCTAAGAGAATGGGATGTTGTACAAAGAGCACAAGGCCTGGGTACTGGTGAATTTGAGTTTTTAAATTCTTCAGAAGATTGCCTTCCAAGCCTTGGTCAAATTACTTTGTACATCTTTGTGTTTTCCTTTTTCTTTCTCCTTTTTCTTCAATCTTTAAAAAGTAAACTAAAGTCCTTGTAGTAGGCAACCTCTAACAAATAAAATACAGCAGAAATAATAAGGTATCACTTCTAAGATTAGATTATAAAAAGTCTTGGATGTCACCTTCTCTCACTCTCTCGCTCGTTTGCTCTGAGAGAAGCCAGACGCTATTAATATTATATATCTCAAGCTGCCGTTTGGAGAAGCCCACATGGCAAAGAACTGAGGGAAACCTCTGGCCAATAGGCAGCAACAACTGAGGTCTTCAGTCCAATAGCCCCAGGGAACTGAATCCTACAAGAGCCACATGAATAAGTTTGGAAGCAAATCTTCCACCAGTAGAGCCTCCAGATGCAACTACAGCCTCAACTAATAGCTTAACTGCTACATCATAAGTGACCTTGAGTCACAGGAACCCAGCTAAGCTGTACCCAGATTTCTAACCCACAAAAACTATAAGACAATAAATGGTTGTTGTCATAAGCCTTTAAATTCTGAAGCAATTCATTATGGAACAATAAATAAGACAATCCTGTTTGATTCTAAAATTCAATACTCCTATAGTACTTTAAGTATTAATTAACATAGTTGGATAGAAAAAAAACACTCCTGCTCAACATGAGCAAAGAGTTCCGTCAGAATCTGAAAGTGGTAAATTATGAAATTTAAACATTTACATTTTTTATTAAAAAGATGAGGTCATTAAGAACTTACAGTATTAGTCAAACAGTATTAAAATACACTAGCTACAACTAAAAATACAAGCCCAACCAACTGGAGGGTAAAGTGTGAATAATCACTAAAAGCATCTCAATGATTTAGTATCCCTTACTTCCTAGAATTTAGCATTATTTATCCAGCACTCACCAACTTTGAGAAGCAACATTTTATTTTTATTTAGTATAAACCTCTAAAAGTTACAAATGCTTATCCACAGACCCGCATGTATTTCTTCAGTATTGGAGTTTGGTAACACTGGTGGCTGATTCCAAGATGTAAACACAGTAAGATACTGAGGTACATTTTTTAAAGTTTTAATCTGATATACAAAGGTATTTCATGATATAACACAAATGAAAAAAAAAATACTTATTCACTTAAAATTGAACATACAATTTTAAATATGGTGTCTTTCCTTTACAATTATACTATAAAGAGCTGTATAAATTAAAACACATGACGCTAGAATATTTATAACAGTACTGTGAGGTAACTAGCTAACATTCTGAAAATTATACTTTTTTATAAAAACAAGTGATTTTAGATTTACATCAATTTAAAAATTATAATTTGCAACTATACCATGGACAATTCAGAATGCCGACAGTGGCACATGTCTTTAAGATCTCATTTCTTCTTTAAAAACATGCCTGGTCTACTGTCCTATATTTTAAACAAATTGATAAAATATCAAGATATATCAATAAAATGCAGAGCAGTTTTATACTACACATGGTTCCACAAAATCCACCTCCTCCATCAAAAAAGTTTACAGCTACAGTTCATTCCAATTACATCTAAGTACTTTTAGAGATACCTATTCACATGTCCCAAAAATGATCCTACAACAATCCAGTCAGGCACATTAGAACATGGAGTTCCATATTCCAAGCTAGTAAAGGAAAACAGGAAGGGCAGTTTACAGAGAGAGGGCACTACAAACTGGGGAAGGCATGATGTTCATGAAGAATTAATGGTCCAACCTGTACATGCAATGCACTGCTGATATAACCTCCACTTTTATTTTGCCCACCTGATAAATTAAAAACTACAAAATCTATATAATCCTCGGTGATTAAATATTGCTTTATAAGATGGCACTGTCATTAAATTAATATCTATAAATTTTTTCTATAGCACCCATCCCACAATTGATAGGCAATTCTCACATAAATGTTTTGAGAATATGAAAAGCAAAAACATTTACTATCCCCATTCTTAGACTACAAACTACTAGAAAACTAAGTATCAGTTCAAAGCTTCTTAGTCTAAAAAACTCACTAAGTCCTTTCAAAAGCCTTTAAAAATGTTTTTCATTTTAATTTTTACAGTATCAAAAAGAACTGCTCTGATACAAAGAAAATAAAACAATTTAGTATAAATTTTATTATCTTCTAAGAGCCTGTGAAAGATTCTAAGTATACAGAAAGAAGTCTTACTCCACAAACTATTCTGGTGGAAAACCACATGCCACAGGCCAAGAAAAAAAGGAAACTAACATTTATCAGATACCAATTTTGTATGCCAGGTGCCATATTTTGCCATTTTTACATTAACTCATTTAATCCTCATCACCTTGGGATGTAGTTGTTAGCCTTATTTTTCTAGAGGTTGGGTTATTTGCCCATAGTCATATTGCTAGGATTAAAACCTAGTTTGTTCTGGCTCAAAGTCCTCTCCTCTTCACTATACGCAAAATAATAAAAGACTTGCCTTCTTAAATCATCTCCTGTAACAAAGTCAAGGGCTTGACTTCTAGGACAACATAATGTCAATGTTCTTATATAGAACTTTGGGGGGTTATTCAAAATTAAACAATGATACATACATAAATAAAAATTATTATGGATTATAGACACTCATCTAATATTTTCTTGAGCACCAAAAGCGGCTTATATATCTGTGAGTGATCACATTGTGCATGTCTCAAACTCTAAAGTCTAATAGTAACAGAATTCAATTTTTCAATATCTAGATTTTTTCCTCTCTTTATCATGATCTGTACACATAAACAATCACATACCTAGCACCCAAAGTGTGTAGAAGAAAAGGAGATAAAAATGATAGGAGTAAAGAGAAGGGTAGGTACAAAGAAAAAAAAAACTCAATGTTTTGGCCAACTTATCTTCTATAACCTAAACAGGAAAACCACTCAGTCTCACTTTCTGTATTGTTTACATATTTAAAAGTTCAATGACTTTCTTACATATTTTTTATATTCTTTGTTGAAAAGCAAGCCACTCTTCTCTAGAACTTCATTGCAGACAAGCCAAAGAAGCTAAAATGTAAAATTTACATGGTTTCCCATGCTAAGTATTTAGGGGTTAAGGACCATATGTATGTGAGAATATGTAGTTTAGCCCTAAACGGTCCAGGAAAAAAATATTTTGTGTCTGTGATTAACGGCAAATGATAAATAGATAAAATGGTAACAGATGAATCTAAGTAAAGGTTACAAGGATATTCTTTGTACTATTGTTATTCTTGCAACTTTCTGTAAGCTTGAAATTATTTCCAAGTAAAAAGTTAAAACTTAAAAACCACATGGCATTCTACTTGAAATTAACAATACATACTTGGATTATACGGTAACATTTTTACAAATACAAAACACTGGTTTAAAAAGAAGAATGCAGTGATCTGTGAGGAAGTATGCACCATATCCTACCAATATTCATCACTTAGGAGTAAATTTCAAACTACACTGCCATGTAACGAAATGCGGTAATGGTGACTTCAGCTGAAACCATAGCAGGAAACACACACACACACACACACACACACACACACACACACACACACATACCCAACATAGTTTGGCATAACTGCTTCACAAATTTAATACAGGCCTGATGCAAAATGCAGCAAATCTACAATTCGAGTGATATATGATACCTCCGGTTTGCAGTAAAATATAGACAAACTGAACAATGAAA